ATCCTCAAGTAGCTTATCAGGATAAAATTAACGATAACTGAGGCAGAAAGTGGGTTTGCCCTCTCCTGTTGTTAGCACCCTGCAGTTAATAGAACATGATTCTTAAAAAATAACCCACCAAAGCAAGGGAGAATCTATGATAACTCACATTGATTATTGACTATGTGCTAATCAATTTATATATAAACACCTTATCAAGTAAATATTGTTATTATTATTACTATTCCATTTTATAAATGCGGCTAAGCCGGGCTAAGTATACAGTTAGTAAATGTCAGAGCCAAGATTCTCAAGGAGACTCTCTGGCTTTACAGCGCACATTCCAGACCCCAGGCTATATTGTCTCTCAAGTTTCCCCATGGTGTGTGATTCCATATATCTGGCATTACTAGTTCGATTTCTATTCCCCTAGACTATAAGCTCCATGAGGGCAGGGCCTTGTCTGCTTCACTTACTACTGTATCCTTAAAACTAGCACCATGTCATGCTTATACTAACTGTCTATAAATATTGTTGAGTATAATGGAAAATTACTTCTTTCCCCAATTCTCAGAACCGAGCAAATGCATAAAAAATAGCTGCTGGGTTCAGAATTGAACAACTGAATAAGGTGTGTCAGGAATTCTCTCCTGCCATCGCTGAAGCTCCCTGGTGGTGAGTGCAGCCACATTCATCACTGTTATACCCACAGAGGCTACTTAAGAAAAATACCCAAAGGCCTGAACCTTCCCCTATTAATCCCACACTCACACTCACCTCTTTTCACTTAAAAAACCATGAAAATCTCCCTTGACAAACAGAGTCCACTGGTCTTTGGCTTGAGTCAAGAAGCACAGCTGATGCAGGGAATTCTGCCTGCACCCTCTGCACCCTTTTGGCTTCCTTCTCCCACCTAGGCTCAATGCAGCCACAGGGATCGGGTCTAGGCAGTCCTCCCAGGCTCATTACAAATCTTTGGTTCACACACACATTCCTGGGGGACTTTAAAAGCAAAGAGGCAGAGTTACTCGGAATCAGCTGAAATCTGTCAAGCCTCCAGGCCAGCTGGAGCAGACCAGTCCCAGGGGATGGTAACCTAGCAACCGTTCAGGTCCCACAGGCCTCTGACTGCAGCACCTTCTCCTTGGAGTTACCCGGCCCCATTTCCACCGCAGCCTAAAAATGGTTGAAGAGATATTAAGACTGGAGATGGTCCTGGATATGAGGTGCGTGTGATGCACGCACACGTGCATGCGTGTTTGTTTATATCTAGGGGAAGATAGAAATAGAACACACCCGTGTATGTGTGTCCCCTGCTTATACTGTTTGTAGGAAGAGGGGACGGATTTAAAAAAAAAAAAAAGATGTGGGGATCCTGCCTGTTAAACCAGCTTTACCGTCTCTCAACTAAAATCCACTAGTGACTGCAAGTGCTAAAAGTGAGCTAGATATTGCTTCAGAAAATGCCAGGAAAGCCATCCCAGCAGGGCAGTATTAGCTTCACAGCAGCAGCAATATCTAAGCGGAGCTTCGAAGAGCTAAGAATAGCTATTGTTTATTGAGTGCCTGTTCTGTGCTGTGAATGGTGCTAAGCACTTACAAATATTAGTTTATGAAATAGGTATTTTTCATGCCATTGTTACAGATGATGAAACTGAGGCCCAGAGCAGTTGGGTAATTTGCCCCGAGTCACACAGCTGGTGAGAGGTCCTGGTACAGGCTCCACCAACAACCAACAGCACAGCCTGGGTAGACCTTGGCTTCCTCTCCCATTGAAGAGGAGAATAATGCCGGCCTTGCCTGTTTTCATGGCATCCAAGGAGACAAGTGAGGTGAACATGCTCTGAAAAGGACCATGTGGGTGGATTTGAGGTGATTCTAGGAAAACTCTTTCCCTGTTTATACTGTAAGATACTTGGGGGAAAATGTCTCACTTGACTTGTCTGTGTCCTCAGAGGTAGTACATATAAAGCTCTTAGAAAATAATGCATTGAATGAACAAATGAATCAACACATGACAAATAAACTTTTAGGTGTGTTCACCAAGTGCCACCTCCCAGAAAAAAACTCAAACTATTTTCAAATTGCTTTCCTCCATGCTCCTGGGAAACGCAGTGCTTCTATATCGCCTCTGAGAAAACCTTACCACCTACAGGTGTGAATCTAAGAGGCAATCTTTCTGGTTTCCTGGGAAAAGCTGTGTGTTTGCTCACGTGGAAATGTGCAAAGGTAAGAAGAGCAAATATTTCATTTGACAGGAGCCAAAATAGGATAACAGCACCAACAGTTTTTTAAATGAAGTCTTAATTATGGCTCACAGTCTCATTTATGATGAGAATATTTTTGAGGTTCATATATATTCATATAGATCAATTAGATGATAGATGATGATAGGTAGAAAGACAGACATTTGCATATACTATTTTTAAACATCAATCAGGACAACCGTGCATGGAGGAGGAGAAGTATGAAAACTGAACACATGGAGTAATGCAGAAAAAGTGGGGAAGGCAGCTTTGCATTCAGTCCCATGATGGGCCCAGCTTGTCTCTACCTACCACAGTCTGCCTGGCAGGAAGCGCTGCAGTGGCCACAGCTGGAGCCACCTCGGGATGTGTGGCTGCCAACTGCCAACAGCAACGGGCACTTGGTTCGTGCTGGTGGCCAACTCGATCCACACCAATGTTTAGCAAATGAAGCGTGGAGTGGAAATCTGCCAATTTAAATGACACGGTGCTCGTTGTATGCTGTTCCCTTTGAATCTCAGTATAGTAATTATGGCTCCACACCTTCTATTGCCTTTCATTTAATCTGATATGGTAGGAACCTGGGGCCGGGGCGGGGAGAGATCTATCCAGTCAGCTTCTGATGAAGGCGGCTCCCGATGTCAGTGGGTAACTTAAAAACCAGAGATAAACTTTAGTCTGGCTTGGGATTGAGGAATAATGCTGGAAGGAGAGTCACATGCCCCTGACCTTAAGGAGGATCCAGCAGATGGACATGGAAGAGTGATTGGCACCATCTGGGTAATCTGTGTGCAGAAAATTGGTAGTCAACTGTCCACTCTTTCAAAAATAGCATATGTTACAGCCACCCAATATCATTCATGACCAAAACCTGTTAGAGTTTGTAAACAGCCTGGAAGAACAATGAGAAAAGCCTTAATTGGAGATCTATTTGTGCTTCCGTTATGAAAGCAAATGAATGATGTGTTAATGGAAGGTCCTGGGACTCATTTACAAGCTTTGGCACCTGTTAAGTGCTGTCTCAGGCAGCCTCTACAGAAGGACAAGTATTAGCATTTTAAAGTAATCGAGGACATTTTCATATGCGTGTAACCCTTGCTGTCCCCAATTCTATTTACATGATAGCAGATGAACAAATAAAATGACTGGGAGATGATTAGCTTTGAAGCATGAAGTGTAAACAGTCTGGGTTTCCACACACATGCTAATTGCTTTCCACTGATGCCTCACAGAGAAAGGACCTATAGGTTGGAACAATTATTGCTGGAGTACCTGGTGCGATTATGTATGTGAAGTGTATTATACACTGTAAAGTGATGTACAAATGTGAGTGGTTGTTGATAGCAAGAATAGACATGATTCTATACACCCCTTCCCTCCTGGATCTCTTCTCTCTCTACAGTTGCACAGCCTTTAACTACAGTACAAATGCACGTGTGTCAGCCTCCCTAGATAATGAGAGGGAAGTTATTCTCTACCTGTCACTTTTCTCTCTCTGGCCCTCATCTATTCTGTACAGTTCTCTCCTTCTCCCCGTAAGGGCATAGAACTCACAGGCTATCCCCTGGCATTTCAGAAGTCTTCCTGCCCCATAGCAGGCACTCCCAAACCTACCCCCTCCTGCCTGCCCTTCTGCCATTTACACCTTATTCATGACAGCTTTTCTGGATCGGACCCTTAATTAATTGCATTCTTGCTCACCAGTGGCAAGGACGAGACTGCAGACTCCGTAAAGACATTGTGTTTTCTTTGCACATCTGCTTTGCAGTAGAGTAACATTTAGGGGCCTATTGCACACAAGATGGTTGGGAGGGCACGAGACAAGAGGAGGCTCTGGCCAGGCATAAGACAGCAGACTTTGACTTGACTTGACTTCCTTGAGATTATTTGCTGCTTGAGTGTCAGGCTAAGGTGTCACCTGACTGTAGTCCCTGGCTTTTCATTCAGTATTGCCACTTCCTGGCTGCTGAACCTGGGCAAGTATTTGAAATATTTAAATATGTTTTCTAATTTATAAAATAGAAATGATAAATAGTGTCTGACTCATAGGATTGCTCTGAGATTAAATGAAATATTTCTTATCAAGTGCTTGGACATTACCTGATATGTACTAAGTACTCAGTAAATGCTAGTGATCATGGCCCAGCCTGTTATTATCTTGCATATGAGTATGCAGTCTACCATTTTGCTGGACTTCTGAGCTTGAGTCTCAAAGATTACCCTGGGACCCAAGGAGAAGCATCTTAGAACCAGGACCCACAGGACCCCAAAATGATGCTCTGAGGCACCAGAGAAACATGCCACTATCACTTCCAACAAACTCTACCAGACTGTCCACAGAAGCCCCTTAAGTAAGCACCATTTTCACATGTTCCACATTCATCCCCAAAACCTTCCCTAAAAGTTTCAAGAGAGCCTGTTTCCCAAATAAACTGAGCCAGAAGCTTCTTCAGAGCAAAACTGATTGACAGCCTGAATGATTGCAAGTTCATGTCTGATGTGGTAGAGCATCCTGGGTTATTTATAGAACAGCTTCTATTTGACTAAATCTGAGCTTTCAGCTTCCTCAAAGAGATGAGGATAAACCTTTAAAAATAAATAAGTAAATAAAATGTAAGGGAAGGGGGAAATGTAAAAAAAAAACCCAAAAAAACAAAAGGAAGTCATTCTCAGGGCTACTGGAAGTGGCAAAGGGGAAGAATGTCTCAACATGTTTTGAAGATAGTCATATCTTTTCTGCATCTTTTCAGGCATTTTTTCTGCCTTTTTTGACAGACTCTTCAGCAGAACTCCGACCAGCATTTCTCCAAGCCTCTACCCACTGGTTGGCAAGAATACCTTTAACTAAGTTTCCAGTCCAGCATTTCTCCCAAGCTGCTGCCTGCTGGTGAGCAAGAACACCTTTAAGTAAGTTTCCCATCGGTTTCAATTCCTTCAATGCATTGTGTGTATCTGTGCCTCGCTTTAGCTATTGTGCAGACACTGTAGGGAAAAAAATGCCGAGTCCTTTAGATAGCCCAGTTCCCATCTCCTTCTGCATCTCTCCCTAGGGCAGACTCCCATTTTTAGGGGAGAGGGGATCTTACTCCTTCTCACATCACAGGGTGAAGAGACTCCCTGGCCTTACACAGTCCTTGAAGGTGTGCAAGCTGTTGTCTCCTGTCACCAGAGCGATGTTCCTATCGCTGTGGGTCCTGCTGGCCCCAAAGTCTAGCCAATTTAATCCATGACTTGGTCTCTTCTGGGTTGGTAAAGGCCCAGAAGCACTCTTGGGATAAAGTGTCCTCTCCTTGACTCTGGCTATCTGCAGACCCCTGAGTGTCTGCTGCATCTTTGTTCATACTCTGCTTCAGGGATTCCTTGCCTGCCACGGTAGACTGATTGACAAGTCCCCTGGCCATCAACTCAGCATCCACAACCCATGGGCACTGGCAGCAGCCTAGAAAGCTAAACCCAAAGGATCCACTCTGTCTGACCCTGCGGCCCGAGCTGGCTTTGCCCAAGGTTGTTGTAGGTAGTAGAACATCTTAAAAGATCATCAGTTCCTGAGTTGTCAGTGTCAGCATTGCTTATCTAACACATCTACCTCTCTCTCACATCTAAGTAGGTCCCGTGTCATCAGTTGTCAGGCCTTCTGGTTCTGGTATCAAAGACAAAGGGATTATCTTAGAGGAAAATTCCCAATTTTGAGTCTTTGGGGCATGGCTTCTCTTACTAAAGGTGGGTGGGAGTGAATGTGTAAAGGCCTGCAGCAAATTCCCTATCCTGACAGTTACCTGATTTTCAGGGCTATTGCTCTCTTGCAGAATCTTAACTTGCATGGGAGAAGTTAAATCTTATGTCCAGCTTTCTCTCTTGAAACTTCTGTATTATTTTTCAAACCCCTCCCCAACCTTACATACAGATAGATACATTGCGCCAACCAGGACCAAGGTAAAGAACTCACACGGGTAAAAAGAAAGCACATTAATGGATTTGAAATAACATCCCTGTTATACATATAACTGCCATTCCCACTCCATTTTGCATGCTCCCTATTTGTTTCTAAACTCATTCCTAAATACTTCAAGAGAAAGAATGTTTTATTTTTGAGACAAAGTCTCACTCTGTCACGCAGACTGAAGTGCTAAATACTTCAAAAGAGCCTCTTCCCCAAATAAACGCAGCCAGAGGCTGAGCACCCATTTCACATTGATGAAAAGTTCTGTGTGCCATGCACATTCACCATACACACTACATCCACAGCCAAGCTCCGAAATCCTTTGTCTGTTTTTCTGGACAAGATTGGTGCTTTGCAAGTAGAGAGGAGGAAGCTCATAGATGGCCCAATGCTATTAAAATAAGACAAATAAATGTTCACCTACTATTCATTATACATAGAGAATTTTCAAAGGAACAAGTGTTAGATTTGATCTAAATAAATGACATTGATCAAACAAATTAAGAACAAAGAGGTTTCCCTGGAGTAGGAGAGGCTGCAGAGCAGGTTTGCAAGCTCTCAATTCAGGGTGGAGCTGAGTGCTTTAGATCTGTAGGGCTCTTCCTTTAGCGTGTGTTGATCTGGGTTTTAACTGTCGTTAAGTTAAAGTTTATTAAGAAGCATCAGCAATACCCAAGAAAGCATGAAGGTACCAGCAGCTATGTTCAACCCATGAAAAACAGAAGTAATTTGAAAAATGGAGTGCATGTTCACAAGCAAAGCAAACGGAAAAGCCAATGAAGCACGGAGCCACAGAGCCAGCTGGGAGAGTGGCGGTAGGGGCTGCTCCTGCAGGTCCCTGTTTGCTAACAGACAGCCTAGGCCAGTGACACGGGAGCTTTTGCTGCTGTCAGATCATTTTCAGAAGCAGCAATTCATGTCACGCTAATAGCTCAGTCTATAATTAGGCATATTTATCTAAGTCTCTGTGATCTGTCTCCTGCCTCTCCGTGCTTAGTTTCCTCCAAGAACAAATAATCCCAATGAGTTATGAGTCTCCAGAGTGGCAAGTGGGAGTGTGTATGTGTGCTGAAAGCCCTGTTATCAAATGGTCTAAATGCAATCTTCTTATTGTTCAAATATGTGGGTAGAGATTGTCTCTTCTCATGGGAAGTGGATTCTTCAGTGCTTACCAGAAAGAGCTGGGAAGCAAAACACATCAATGATCGTGCTATTTCTGTGTCTTCCTACGTTAGGTCAAAGCAGTACACCTTTGCAATGGACTTCAAGACTGCTTGGAAAGATGATAAATAAGAGCAATTGTCAATTAACATTTTAAAATTATTTGGAAAGCCATAAAAGAGGCTGCAGATTGAAGACCCTGAAAGTAGCTGTCTGCTTTTGTTCTTTTTCTTTATTTCAGCATATTTTGCAACTCAAAAAGGAAGACATTATCATCAGGTGATTTGTCATGTATGGGCCAATAAGGCAATTGGAAGAAAGCTGGGTGCCCTAGAATTTTACTGGGCCTTGATCAGCTCGATTCTCCATATCTGTGGGATCCGTGGTGAGGCCCTCCCGTCAGAAGACTGATGCAAAAGGCCACCCTTTGTACTTTTCTCATTTTCCAGGGAAACTGGAATCAGCCAGCTGTTGCCTGACTTGTTGCTCCCTGGGAAATAGTTTCCCTGAACAAATAATGTGCACCCTCTAAATTTGAACTCCTCTGCTAGAGCTTTACCTCATTCTTGTAGCAAGTATATAGTACCGCCAACCCAGGCTGCCAGTCAGAAAAAGAGGCAATAATTATAAGCTGCACCAGATAGATGCTTTCTAGAAATAAAGATTAGAATCCACTTTTTAAAAACAAATATCTTTGGTTGCTTACTCTGATACACTAGCTCCTTTGATATTCAGAAAAATCCTGAAGATAAATATTTTTACATCCTCATTTTCCAAATAAGTAAATGGATGCACAGTAAGGTGAAGTTACTGGCCCAAAAAACCACAACTAATATGAGGCTTCAGTAAGATTCAACCCCTGGTCTGCTGTGTGTACAGCCTGTGCTACTTTGTCACCCCGTCATGGAGTCTCAGCCCTTGCTTTCTGTCTGAGCAGGCTGCCTCTTTGAACAGAAACAGAAAGGTATTTGCACTGAGCTTTTGCTGACTGATATGGAAGAATAAAATGTTAGTAATTTGTATTTCACGAGTCCACAGCTCCTATTATTTATCCAGATTATTGGCCATTTTCTACCCTTCCTATTAAAGGCAAAGGACTCTGGATGAACTTGAATGTTATTCTTATGGATCACATACACACATAGAATCAGGTCGTATGCATCACTTTCATGAAGCTTACATGTTCTATTCAACTGACCATTGGACTGTATCAGAAACTCCTGCTACTGATGTCAAGCCTAGAAGAGCACATCGTATTAAAAACCTGATAAAGCTGTACACATTCACTAAATTCTAATGTGCTCCAGTGGGACTTCCTGTGTATGAGCTGCTCATTTCCTGTGGAACTCTGAAGCCGGATAGACTGGAAATGCAGAAGTCAAGCAGCCCAAGAGATTTATGTAAGACAACAGCATCAACCTCTTCCATTACATCTTTGTTAGGGCTCTTTCTCAAGCTGCAAAATGTATTTATATGATTTTTATATCCAGTTCATTCTCCTTGCATCCACTATTGAGAAAAGGACAGACAGCAGAAGAAAATATACAAGAAAAGAAAGAACTAAGTCAGTGTTTCTCCAAATGTGGCTGGGACCCCTATTTCATCATCACATGATGTGCCTGCTAGAAACTCAGGTTCTTGGGCCCCACCCAAGATTTAATGAACCAGAATCCCTGGGGCGGGCCTAGGAATATATATTTTAATAAACTTCTGAGATGATTTCTAACTCTTTAAAATTTGTGAACTATTGAGGAAGAGTCAGCAAGCTCAGTACTAAGTCCCTAGATTAATTAATAAATGAAAATACTTTTTAAAAGATTAGAGACATTGGTAGTGCCAAATTATACCCATGCTTAAGATCTTTTGTGTCTTTAAAGAATAATGACTTACTGTTATTAAAATGATACATGCTTAATATTCAAAATTTAAGTGAGAACTAAAAAAATTGGAGACATCTGCATACATGGATTGAAATATGGAACTCAATATAATAAAGATGCCAATTGTTCCCAAATAATCTATAGGTTTTATGCAAATCCTAGCAAAATTTCAGGAGGATTCTTTGTAGATATAGACATGCTGATTTAAAAAAATGTATGGTGAAGCAAAGAAACTAGAATAGCTGAACAATTTTGACAAAGAAGAATAAAATTATAGAAATAACACTATCTGATTTAAAAGTTTACTATATAACCACAGTAACCAAGACAGTATGGAACTGGCAGATAAATATAGATAGATGGATCAATGGAACAGACTAAAGGATTCGTAAATAGACCCCTGGAAGCACAACCAACTGATTTTTTTTTTTTATATTGTGCAAAAAATTCAGCTGAGAAAGAATAGTCTTTTCAATAAATGATATTGGAACAGTTGGACACTCATAGGCAAAAAACATTAACCTCAACCTAAACCTCACATAGTATCCTCACTCTGCCTCACTTCATATAACTTTTCACTACATTGAATATTATATTTATTGTGAAATTGTCTATCTCCCAACAGTGGAAAATAAACCCTATGAAGACGTAGACTTCTTTTGTTTGGTTTACTATTGTATCTTTATAATGTAGAACAATGTTTGGCATATAGTGTAAATTCACTAAATATTTATTGAATAAATGACAAAATGAATGGACTCAGGAAAGAAAATGGAAAAAGCAACAAAGTATACAATCTCAACACCAAGATATAATTAGTGTGATAACATGATGAAAACTCTTTGTAAACATCTTTCTTTGCATACATTAATATAGACACATGGATGATAGGAAAATGGAGAAAATGGATAAATGGAAACAATTTT